TTGTACAGTCAATCGCAAAGCTCTTTCTCATTTTAGATGTGTTTTGTGTGTGCTGTCGCAGCATGCACGCTGAAAACCAATGCTGCCATTCAGTCTTTTTGCCACTCAGTGGGCAGAACCGCTGTTCCTCCAGCAGACGGTGACGTCACGTGCATGCCCTCTATAGATTAGATAAAATGTCACATGACTTCCTTGAAATGCCTAAAGAGTGAGAACATCTCGTTGTAAACTTCCATTAAGCTGGTTACCTCGTTACTTGGTCATGGAATGTTTGACGTTGATTTATTTTAAACATAAAAACAAGTGAAATTTGGGCATGTGTAGTAAGGACACCTATGACAGGAAATCAGTAGACTAGTCCTTTAGAAATTTTCAGAGGCAATCTGAGAGGCATCTTTGCCTTTTTGGATCTGCATCCTGTGAAATTCCCTATTTCATTAGTGCAAAAGTTCAAGGTTCAAAAAGTTTGAAACTACAAAAACAAGAAAATATTCCGATATTTTATTTGCAGGGTACTGACAACTTAATAAAGTGTGTGCGTGCGTGCGTTGTGTGTGTCCGTCCGTCCCGTGGCTCAGTGGTAGAGCATTGCGTTAGCAGCGCAAAAGGTCGTGGGTTCGATTCCCAGGGAACACACATACTGGTAAAAAAAAATGTATAGCCTGAATGCACTGTAAGTCGCTTTGGATAAAAGCGTCTGCTAAATGCATCAATTAATATATATATATATATATACAGGTGCATCTAAAAAAATTTGAATATCGTGATAAAGTTCTTTTTTTTTGTTAACTTATTTGAAAAAGTGAAACTTTCATATATTCTAGATTAATTACATGTAAAGTAAAACATTTCAAAAGTTTTTTTGTTTTAATTTTGATGATTAGAGCTTACAGCGCATGAAAGTCAAAAATCCAAAACTTTTCGAAATAAGTTACTAAAAGTGACCTTTTTCACGATATTCAAATCTTTTGAGATGCACCTGTATATATATATATATATATATATATAAAGTGAGATAAAACA